TTGTCTTGCGCAAATAGCCATACCATAACAGCCTCACAGACACAGTAGCTAGCATCACATGATTTGGAAATTCTGCTTTTTTGCAATACGCGGAAGTCCCGTAACCTAGGATTTTTTATTCTACTAGTCCTAGGTCGGAAAGTGATCGTTGGAGAGAGGGCCGCCTGGTTTGCAATTTCAGCATATTATTTTCTTGTTACTTCTTTTTCTAATTTTTTCCTATTTCTCTATTTCTATTTGGGGTTCTTTCTATTAGGGACCTATTTATATGCAAGTTTTTACTGTTTTGAGAACTTTTGATTATTGCTATGTTATTTGAGGATGTTTTATTTTAGTATTCTTTATTGGAGACTTGTATCGTTAGATTTCTTTCAGGTGGTGTCTATGGATTGATAGGATCAGAGTGATGATCTCTCTCGGATGTTCGAAGGCTTGCTTTGTCATCCAACTGTTTTGTCGGTGCCTAGCCTAAGAGCAATTTTGTCATTTCTACTCCTAATGGCAAGTTTCTCTTTTATTATTATTATTGTTGGGTCTAAATAGACTCATTATGTTTAGGGTTAGGTCTATGCATGAGATTGAGTTGTGAGTCTCAGGTTTAGGGTTTGGGAGAGATTTGATACTTCTAGAATTGCAAGAATCGGGAAAGATCTTCTCCCTCATGAACTGTAGGTGCTTATCTTTTGTATTCTCATTGAGTTGTTTGAATTATTGAAGAAAATATTATTTTGCTCTAATTTTTATGGAAAAATGTGACGATTTTTTGCGCCTAATCATTTCAAATTGGTATCAGAGCTTCGATTTCTGAGAGATAACCAATCGGTTGTCCGTGATTGACCACCTTCGTGACAGAATTCAACCAGGGAAGGCCAAGACTTGATTGCAACATACAGTAACCTAAAACTCGCGTATTTCTCCTTCTCTCGCTGCGTTCGACAACAAAGACATGAGTTGTGGAAATCGCCCAGGCGTCGGGTTAGCTTGGATGTTAACAACACCATCAACGGGATCGTAGGTACATGGATGCCAACTATGGGATCGCACATTGCAAAACGGTCGCGATTCAAGCTAGGGTGCCGATGGCCGGTTCGCTGTGTGTCTCGTGACGATACAGTCCCAATCGTGCTAGATAGGGGGGTGAGAGTGGCATGCCTTGTAAGATACAATTGAGATTCATGTAGCTGGTAAGCAACGACGGGATCACGACGTACAGAGTGACTGAACCCCATCATTTTATGGAGTGCCAATTGTGAAATTCTAGAATTTGAAGTCGTTTGCTTCATCCAACACGTGGCCATACTGCGGAACATAATTTCTTCAGATTCCTTTGCTAGATCATAATTTTGCGGCTATGGAGGTCATGATTCAGACTATCTGGAAAATTATCTACAATATTTAAGCGTTTATGTGCTTCCATCCTTTGTGATAAAAAAATTTTATAAGAAGAATGACAATCAAGAAATAGATGATTTGGAGAAGAAATCAGAGGAAGAGATCGGCTAAATCAGATCTGGGATGGAAGAATGGTTCACCATCATAGATGATCAGTTTTCTTCTATGGAGAACCGATTGGAGGACCAGTTTGAGAGTATGGTGGAAATTCGAGTGATGATAGAGTCTTATTGAGATGCAATCCAAGACTCCAACGACGACTCAATTTGCAAAACCTAAAGAGAAAGAGATTGAATGTGAAGAACATGAGGAGGAAAACATTCACATCACGTACCCCCTCCCAAGGCTATGATTGGGGGTGGATTAAAGATTTTTGATGGAGATGGTTGGGTCGAAACATGAAAAGAGATTATGCAAGAGGTATGAAAGAGTACGAAGAAGAAAAGAGAGAAACAAGGAGATGATATGATATGACTATGATCGAATGAGGGAGTTTTACTTTCAATACATGTGGGGAAACAATATAGGGAGAGGAAGTTGGGGTGGAGATGTTAGGGTTAAGAAGTTGTATATTTCGTTCTTCGAGAGGGAAGACGCACATGTGTGGGTGCATCGGGCGGAGCGATACTTCACAGTGAATTATCTAAATGGGGAGGAGAAACTCATGACGGTAGGGTTATATTTGAAGGGGAAAGCCTTAGCCTGATTTTAGTAGAGGGATGCTAGATACCCGATTCGTTCATGGGAGGAATTTAAGGATTATTTATTGGAATGTTTCCAAGACATTTAGAAAGTAGACTTACACAAGCAATGCTATATCTTGACTCAGGAGGAGATTGCCATGGGATATATGAAGAGATTTGAGCTATTGTCAGGATGACTGAGGGGGATTTTTGAAACAAGATTGGAGGAGAATTTCATGAAAAGGACTAAAACCCGATATACGGGCAACACTTCGATTATTGAGACCGCGGGGATTGAGAGAGCTCAGATGATGGAGGATAAGAACCAGATGGAGAAGGACAACAGGAGCAGCATAGACGGAGCGTTGTACCAAACTGCTACAACCATGATGATATTAAAATATTAGATAGTGAAGTCCAGAGGGAGGGTGCAGGAGACAAGAATAATGAGGCACGATCGGGAGCGACACTCAAGAGCCTTACAGAGACAAATTTTGGAGAATCTAGCCAAGGGGTTATGTTTTTAGTATGATGAAAAGTTTACCCTAGGACACAATTGAAAGGATCGAAAATCTCATGTTCTCACGGTGCATGATGAGGAGATAAAGGATGAAGAAATAAAGGCAGTTGTGGTGGAGCAGGAACACTCATTTTTTCCCATCTTGAGGGCAAGATATCTTCTGAGGGAGTATTGTTACGTGGGTGGGCAATTGTCTTTTTTACTCATAAGGGCAAGTTAGTCTTTTATTATTGATGTTGTTTGATATAAATAGGATTTATGTTTAGGTTTAAGTTTATACATGAGATTGGGTCGCTAATCTTATGTTTAGGGTTTGGGAGAGATTTCCTAACTCTTGAATTGTAGGAATTGGGATAGATCGCCTACCTCTCAAATTGTAGGTGCTTATCTTTTGTATTCTCGTTAAGTTGTATGGATTATTAAAGAAACTTTTATTTTGCCCTTATTTATGTGGGAAAGTGTGCTTGATTGTATCACCAACTTGCAACAAATTGTGATTCGCTGCATGATAACTGCTACTTTTCATTCGGATTTGCTGTTCTGCTATAATCCACGCCATATTTTCAGCCGCCATCCATCCTCACTATCCCATTACCGATCATACAACTTTCCTAACATCTTTTTGTATTCCCTCACACCTTCTAGACATTTTAGAACAATATCTCTCACCACCTGTGTTTCTTTTATTCTCTGTTTCTTCATTGTTGACACCATCATCTCTCGGGATTTCTCTGTTCACCCTTTGTTCTATTCTTCTTGATTGTGTATTGAAATTGTCTTATTCTTCTTTGTTGCTATTGATTCTGCGCCTCTACTATCTTTTTCTGCTACTGAGATCAGGCAAATCTCTATACCTTCTTTCTATTTGTCCTCTGCAGGCTGTGTTCTCCCATGGTTTTTCTTCAACTTGGTCTTCTTTTTCATGCGGCCTTCTTTACCTCTAGCTGTTTAGCATCATGATTTGTGCATTGATTTCTGGCATGTGAAAGATGTAATGTATTTCTTAGCTTTTATTACCAGACTTTCAAGCTTGATTTATATCTGGAGTTGAGAAATTGCCAACTTATTGTTATTATTATTATTATTATTTCCTATTGAATTAATGTAGTTTAATTTTTGTTAGCTTAACTTTTTTTGGCTAGTTTGAAGCGAAAGTCTTTCTACATACACCCTGAATTGAATAATTCTATTTTCTTGTGTGAAAACTAGTTGATGTGAGAGTTAATGGCTGTTTTCGATTGAAATAGTCAAAATTACTCATCTTTTGCTTTTGATAGTTTAATCTGTATGTGATATAATTGCTATCCTTTTCTTTTCATTCAGGTTGAAACTTTTGTTGTAGGGTTGAGTTCAAAATTGGTATATCCGGAATTTGTACATTTGTACGATTTTTAAATACACCTTAAAATATAGCATGCCACCATCGACCTCTTATTGTTCCGCCGCCGCTATTAGCTATCATCGATAGTTGTCGTCGCCCACCACCGCCCTCTCGCTTTTGCCCCTCACCGCCACTGCTACCACCTGCATTTTACGTTGACATTGAGTTCTTTCAAACCAGACAAAAAAATATAAACTTGTTTTTTTTCTTACACCAAACCGAATAGCTCTAAAATATTTTAACTACACTATTTTTATTACATTGTATTCCTTTTACACTGCATCATATTGTATATACCCAAAAAACCCCATTGTTAAAAAAATAATAAAATCCTTTGCATGCCGGTTTTGAGAGAACGGAAGTGAAACTCATTAAAATTCCAAATAGATGAGAATTTAAAAAATGAGAAGCAAATGGCCATGAATATTATAGTTTATCTGTGCTTTGAAGGAAAAAAATTAAATATCGAACGCATATTGTTTTTTAATTAAAAAATTCATGCGTTTCAATTGACACACTTTTGTAGTTGGAGTGATTACTAGGGTCTAGAAATCTTTTTCTTTTCACAAATTTTTGAAAACTGCTAAAAATGTTTGAGCCAGGTGAAATATCGGTTATGTTTGATAAATTACAGCTGTAGAAAACTGTCCTAAATTGACCTTTAGTTATATTTGATAAATTACAGCTGTAGAAAATCTCCTAAATTGACCTTTAGTTATATTTTTTGATATTCATGGTAAATCCTCTTATTGTAACAGGGTAAAGTAGTTGGAGAGTAGTGCTTTTTACTTGGACACTTCCTTAAGTTTTATTATAGAATTAGTTGCTTGATTTATCTTGTATTATTTGTTTTATTTTTGTTTGTCTAGGTCCTTTTGTTTGTTTGTTTGTTGTCTTTCTATTTTAGTGGTACTTTTATAAAGGAGTTGTCTTTCTATTTTAGTTGCACTTCTAATGAGCCTCAGAGGATAATGAGTTTAGGTCTGACTTGATTAACTGATCTATTAAACCCGACATTCTGCAGGCACTTTACTTTTGTGTCCCATTCAGAGAACAGCTGCTGGAATACTATGCAAATAACAAGAATGTTGGGGAAGCTGAAGAGAACCTGCTGACGTGTTTGGCCGATCTTTTTAATCAGGTGAAATACAGATTTTAATAATTTGTAGTTTTTTTTTCTCTCTCCTGCCATTCATATTGTTTCAGCATAATAGATGGCTTCATGATTATTATTATTATTATTTTATTTTATTTTATTTTATTTGTGCTTTATTTGAAAATGTTGGTTCTTATATAAAGATGTATAAGTAGGGTACCTGGTTTTCAATATTATGATTTGCATGTTTATGAACATTGAATATCATTGTATTTGAGGGGTCCATCAACTCGCTGGATGCTAACAAGTCTGGACTGTTGATTATTGAATTTATATCCAGCCCCGCTCACATTTGTGTGCGCGCTAAACATAAACTTTTATCATAGATAGCCATAGAAAATAATATTTATGATCAGCTGGTATGTATGCATCCCTGATGATATTGAGAGTGACTGATAGGATAAGTGAGAATAATAATCTTAAGTGTAGTTTGTAGCTAATTTAAAGGGTTATTTATTTCTTCTCGTCTCAATTCCTAAAAAATGTATATGTAGTTTCATAAATTTCCAAATAATTGTGCATGTCTCAACTGTCTGTTTGACTTGATATATGACAAGCGAACCTGTAGAATTGTAAGCGTCTGCACTGCATAGCTTGCAATGCACCTTTATCATATGAGGATGTCATGTCTCAACTTGCCCCAAGGACTTGGAAGATCAAAGTGAGAATAGATGGTTGGACTGTAATTTTAAACGCTTCATATAACATCACAGGTCTTTTAAAATCTTTGAATATTTCAAACATATAGTTAATTTGAATATTTCAAACATATAGTTAATTAGTTTTGGCCAACTAATTCATAGGATTTCATTTATAAACAAATCACAAGATACAACATATTTGTTGTGTTACCGTCAAGAACTTGCAAAATACAAATTGTTACATATGTTTACATAATACCTATCACACGTTATTCTTTTGCTATAAACACACTCTCTTTTCACCCATTTAATTTAAGGAATGCTTTTCTACAAATAATTATCAACTATGGGTGTGAGTTAAACATCAAACTCAGGGGTTAATGAATTTTAATTTATAGTAATTCAAAATTTAGCGGACAATGTACATGTAGATTATTATAAGTAATTTATAGAATATTGTCAACGAGTATATATGCATTTGTAATTTACTCTATGGTGGAACAAAGAAACAAGCGTTTATTTGCTCTTTTGTCTTGAAAATTCGATGAATCAACTAATAATATAATACATCCATCATATAAATATCGTTTATCTTTGTAACTGTAAAGACATTCATTTCGATAACTTGTTTCAAACCTATCTCAACATCAAAAGGAGTACTTGCAATAATTTTATATGCACAAGTACAACCATTTTCAGCCAATACAATAAGTGGGTGGACTCTATCTTTCAACATAAACAGGTACAATTATTTCTAACTAGTATATTCCTTTAAATGGTCATGTTGTACTTGCATTGTTTCTATTTCATTTGCTTTATATTCTTAGGGTATAATATGAGTTATACTTATCATATGAAGAGGTTTATAAATGACAACATTTATTTAGTTACTTTTGAATGGCTACTTCGGGTCATAATATTATTAAATGCATAAAAAAAAGGCATAACAGTGGATGCATTAAATTTTACAAGAAATGAGCTTAATTGTTATAAAATAGAATACAATTAAACACCTTGGAAGGTTTTCTTGTCTCTAAATCCTCACACTCTTACTCTTTAGTTTAATTCCTAATATCAATAGATATTAATTGTACATAAGGGGTTTACTTTCTTTGATTTCTAAAAAAAATTCTCTTTTAATTTTATATCTTTTTATTGTTTTACAATAATTTACTTTTAGTTAACTCTATAAATCATGCTTAGCAAATTTAGTTTTTGAAATCTTTAACTTAATATTTAAATTTTGGCATATTGCAACATTAAGCACTTTAAATTTTCAATTTCCATTTAAATTATACAAAACATAACACTCAAATTCTCTTTACTATAATTTGATATCATGACTTTATTAATCTTTACTTCTATTCAAAGTCCTTAATCCAAAATGAATGTTTGTGACTATTTGATTTAATGATTAGCATACTTTCACTCTACCAACCTTTAAATTTTTTTGTTCAAATATACATGATACTAAATTTCCTTTTTCAATTTTATTATTTTTTATTAGATGAAACCATTAAATTTAATAATTAATTTTTTAAAAAATCATTAATACATTCAAACCTCAATTTAATATTAAGTTCTCTTGCTCTTGTACAGTTATTAACATTCTAATTTGTACGCAAAAAAATTTGAATTTCTTGCATAAATACATATATTTTGTTAATATTGATAATCTAAAAACCGTTTACTAGAACATAACAATGTTTCTTTAAATTAATCAAAGAAAAAATTATTGATTTAATCAATAAAAATTCACGGTTTTATGATGCACATGCATATTCTCTCTCTTTTTTTTTTTTGGGCAAAAGAACCAAACTATCTGCATTTATTTTAATTTTCCTTGCAAAATTCCTAGCCAAACGTTTTATTTGTGTATAAAATAATTCCAAGTTTAAATTGTAGATGAAAACTTTGTTAAGGCTTATCTCTTAGGTTCAATGGTAAATGAAGAAAATCTTAGCTCTAAATGTCAAAACATTGATGCACTACAAGTACATAGCTTGATCTTGTATGATCGAGTCCATTCTTGGCTCCTTCTCTAGTCATTGAACCTTGTTTGCTCACCTTGTGCTCGCTCGCAATGCTTGCCCTCTCTAGCTCTCTTGCCCGATTGAACTTGCTCGATTGCTTAGCCTCACATGCTTGCCTTATGTCTCTCGCTCTCCCACTCTCATTTGCTCATTCATCTTTTGTTTCACTCGCTCTCTTTTCATAATGGTTCGCTCATTCTCTTCTTATTAAACCAAAGCTTGGTTATTCAATGCCTTATTACTCAAATTAATGGCACCTAAAAGAGGTATCTCGCTAATTATCCTGCACTCATTTTTTTATTAATTAAATTAATTAAATTATTTAATAATTTTTTGTTGAAGTCATCTTAATTAAAGTTTAAGACATTTGAAGAAATTATGGGTAATTACTTAGCATTTTATTACCATAAAATATTATTTTAATAGTTTCAAATTAATTAATTATATATAAAATTGTATATATTAGTAAGTTATTACAAAAAATGCAAAGTTGTTTTTTCAGGATACCATCTGTACATTTTCTTCTGCCTTTGGGTTTGAGAATCACATTCTCACATATCTCTCTAATTTATTGTGGCTTGGTTTGTGTATTCATTAATTTCAACTCCGACTACCATTCCTTTTGCTAAAAGCTATATTGTAGTCGGTTGCTGGTTATTTTGTTCTTTAGAAGAAAATTTTAAATTTTATTTGATTAATTTTTTTGTTAGCCCTTTTTTATAGAGGTGCAGCCCACATGCACACCTCACCCCAAATTTACTAGCACTGCTTTTTATTTATGTTATTATGTCCCCAAACGTTGTCATCTTTCTCTATTTGTTTTTATCATGCACTTAATGCAGTTCTCTTTTTATCTAGTCTTTTACCTATAATTATTGAAATTAACATTTTCACGACATTCATATTATCTGTTAGTGTTTTATTTGATTTGTTTTATTGCTTGTTACTTTGATCCATTTTCCACAACTAGTGTTATAGACTTCTAGTTTAGAACATCTTATCATGAAGAACCTCGATCATTTTGCCCAAATTAGACCATCCCGGTGCTCAGTGATTATATGTTGCTATATGCAGATCAACTCATCGAAGAAGAAGACTGGTGTTATTGCCCCCAAGCGGTTTGTACAGAGAGTGAAGAAACAAAATGAGCTTTTTCGCAGCTATATGCATCAGGTAATTATTTATGAAATAGCTGAATTCATTCATTTTAATGTCGTACATAATTTATTGGCATCAATTCACTCATTGAAAACATCTTGAACTACTCTATTCAAAAGATTATGCGACCAATTTGTTAAGTTTCTGTAATAGGGGGGTACAAGGATCCAAATTTGTCTCCTATGTGCTAGAAGCTTTTGTTCTGTTGGTTCCGGTGACCTGGTGCCACTTAAGCTGTGTATTCTTCGTAGTCCCATATTTTATTTTAGGTTATGACATTTCTTCAAATACGAAGTCTTATTTGTAATGCGGACATTGTATTAGAAAATAAGTAAATGTTCTTGCTATGATTAAATTTTTGGAAGATTTACATACATACCACTCGATTCTAATATATTTACATATCTAACGCCTAAACTTTAATTTTCACATATATGTTACCTTACCTTTGCATGAAATGTATTTCACTTTTTAAAAGAAAAAAAACTTTTGGTATTTTTTATATGATATGAAAGATTTGGGTGTTATAAATGTAATAAGCAAACTTGACGTGTTAGATAATTAAATAAATAAGAATTGGGTGGTGTGTATGTAAACGCCACAAATTTTTTGTATTGTTAATGATTTGGAGTTAATGTAGTCTCAATTTAGCACATTTTTCGCGGATAATGGGCTCATTCATCATGCTTCATTTTCTTATATATCTCAATAGAATAGTGCTGCTAACTGTAAGTATCATCTTTTGCTTGACGTAGCCTAGACCTTGATGCACCATATGAATGTTCATCGTTAATTCTTGGGTGATAATTTTAGCTGCATGCTCTCTTATTAATCGTGTCTCATTTACTATCTTTGGCGATGCCGCCACATTTTCCATTCCTTGTCCATGCCGCTTCACATTTTGTACATTCAATTTGGCTCATGATAAATTTTTTTATTGGGCCATTCGGTATATCTGTCTAGGCTACTCTCATTCTCAGATAAATTTATCATTGTTACAACTCCATACTAGGTGCTTATATAATTCCGCAAATGTTACCATCTTCTTTACATATCTTCATTTCTCGTAAACATCCGTACTATCAATCTTTATAGATATGCACTCTTGTTGAAATTAGTACCGTATTAAATTAGCATTGGGATCTAGTCACACCTCTTGGCATTATACTTGTCTCATTATGTTGTCTTTACACCATCAAATCCATTTTGATGGATCTTTTGATAGTTGCAAAGCACACTTGGCTGGTTATTTTTAACTCGAGTCTATTTGATCAACTAATCTGATGCTTCCTCAATTGTCAAGCTCAACCCCATTTAGGTTCATTTATTTGATACAATCAGTCAAGACTGGCCTTCTGTACAAATGGAGGCAAGTAATGTTTTATATAACAATTTCATTGAATTCATTTATATGGTGCAACCATTAGGGTACATTATTATGACGGAGGCTAGAGTATTTATCTTAAAAAGTCCTATGAGCTAATGAAGAGTTCTCGGGCTTGGTGATCAGTTTTGTAAAGTTTTTTGTTGAGTTTGGTTTTTGCATCAACACATCAAATCATTTTATCATCATCATCTAATACACTTTATTTGGATATATTATTTTGATAGTCCATGTAGATCATTTTATCATCATCATCTAATACACTTTATTTGGATCTATTATTTTGATAGTCCATGTAGATGGCATTCTACTTATTAGGAGTAATGGGAAAGGGGTTATTGAAATAACACTATCTCATGAGTATTTTATGAATAAATATATGGATCAATCGAAATCTGTATTAGAATAGAGTTTGTTTACAACAAATGACATTTAAAAAAAAAAGGAAATTGGGCTTTTATATGATACTTCCTTTGACATTTGGAAAGCTATCAATGATGTGGAAAATTTTTTTTTGGAGTATTTTATTAATTGCAAAAGGCTCATCAATAATGAAGAAACTTTTTGGGATGCATCTTGCTATCGCAAACGGCTGCCAATAATGATGAAATTTACAGGGAACCTATCATTATGATCGATAAATTGATCTATCCTATTGTCACCGGTTCATATATTTCTGTTGACGTAGGTTATAAGTCAATAGGCGCAAACACCAAATAGAAATTAAAGTGGTTTGGTGTATTCTTTGTTTTATCAAAAAGTTCTAGAAGATAAATTCTAAACCCTAAGCGCAATCTCATGGTTTATTGTAGAACAAAATATGTTGAAATGGTCTATAATTTCTTTTAGATGAGGCTTTGGGTCCACTAAAATTTTCTAAGCTATTTAATGAGCTGGAGCTAATTAATGATCATACTCTAGCTTTAAGCGGAGTATTGTAGTAAGAAGTACTTCTATTATACCTGGCTACATTGCATTGATTCCTTTATTGAATAGAGAGGTTCTCTATTGAATAAGAACATGTAAATCTCTTTCCGAAAGAACATAGTCCATCTTTCCTTTTATGATATGTGGGGTGAAGATATGACTTCATTGGGGTTTGTTCAGACCGAAGATCCATTCACTTAGAAGTGTAGAATTAGATGATGTCTTCATTGGGCTTCTGGTGGTTCTCTTTCACTTAAAGAGTCTTCCCCCACATGTTTTATGCTGATGTTTGACGGAAAGACCATAAATTCCATTGCTAATATGAATCTAATGCCTTTTCTACTGCAATACAAATTCAAAAAGCTAATGAATGGGTTTAAAAAGCCTTCTTCTATATTTTTTTGATGTTTTGATTTTAGATGCTTCCTGCATTTTCAGTCTCATAGGTTTTTGAAACGTTATGGGAACTGAACTATCTTTTACCTTCGTGAACTAGGATGCTCATGAATTTTTAAATTTCCTGCTGAGCTCGTCGACATATTGGAGAAAGAAGCAAATTCTAAGGATTCCCCTGGAAACTCATCACAATCAGAAAATATAGCAAATGGGTCAAGCCATCTTCAAGCTAACGGCATTAAAAAAGAACCCCAGATAACTTGGGTCCATAAAAGCTTTCAGGTGAAGTTACAGATTTTTGCTTTATACGATAATTTTTCAACACTAATATTTATAGATTGTGAGATAGTTTTCTACTGAATTCTGAGGTTTGCCATCTTTTCAAATATGGCATGCAGGGTTTATTGACCAATGAGACTCGATGCCTAAGGTGTGAAACTGTCACTGCAAGGGATGAGACTTTTTTCGATTTAAGTGTAGATATTGAGCAAAATAGTTCCATCACAAGTTGTCTGAAAAACTTCAGTTCTACTGAGACATTGAATGCTGAAGATAAATTCTTCTGTGACAAATGCTGCAGGTTATTTTTCCAGTTCTTTTTTGGATTTTTCCATGCTTTTATAGAGTGTATCACGAGTGGGGTTATCAGCGATGATTGCTTGATCTATGAAAATTTTGCTTATTTTCTATGAACTTAGACTGTGCAAGCCACCCCTTAGGTGTAGTTGTAAGTCTTTTGAGAGTAAAACAGCACAGAGATTCTAGAAGTCACCAATGACAGCACCTTGTAGACATTTTTTTAAGATTAACATACATACCGCTCAATTCCTATGTATTTATATATCTAACATCTAAACTTTGAAAATGTGTATTTCACCTTCTAAAAGTTTAAAAAATGGTATTTTTTATGTGATCAGGGGCGGAGCCAAGGGTATCTCCAGGGTTGCCCACCCTTAGCTTTTCAATTTTATAATAAGAGTTTTTTTTGTAATTTTGCCTCCCCTAACAAAATACTTTTGCTCAAACAAACTGCGAAGGAACCTGTTCAAACTCCACTCCGTTTGCTAAAACCATATTTAAGCTTCATTCATTTAAATTCATTATTAAAGTTCAAGCTTAATTTTTGTGTCATATGTTTAAGCTCGATTCATTATTAAAGTTCAAGCTTGATTTCACTATGGCAGCTCATTTAGCCTTATGGAGTATTAATGATGTAGATAAATAGTGTTTTTTTTTAGCTTATTAAATTTGAATAACCAAATTAATTTGAAAACTAAAGTTTTTTTTTTTTGAAGGATTTAAAACACAACTATTAATTCCAACAATATAAAGCCTACATGACCACATGCAAGTCATAAAACTCGAATAATTTTGGTTTGCCTTTCCATTTAAACAATTGTTATATCATGTTTCTTCTTGATATGAGACTAAAAGAATCAAGATGAAAAATATACATTACATTTTTCATGTGAACGCTGAAGGAGTATATTTATATATTTATTCATTAGTTTTTTTTATTATTTTTTTATCTAGTATTGGTTTCACGTCAATTTCTTTAATGTAAATAATATAAAAAAGAATTTAATTTTATATCAATTTTTCATCATACTTTATTGAAACTAATCTAAACCTTTTTAATTATAATTTGTTGTGTGTTTTAGATAAGTTGAACTCGAGCTTTAATCTAATATCTTAACGTGCTTCTTCAAGAGTTTTAAACGATGTGGTATTCTTTTTCATTTTTTAAAATTAATTAATTTATTTAATTAGTTTGCTCACTCTCAAAAGAATGGTTGGTTTCGCCTCTGGATGAATGAAAGATTTTGGTGGTATAAATGTAAAAAAGGAAAGTTTAGGTGTTAGATATGTAAATATATAGCAATTTGATGGTATGTATGTAAATGCTCTTTTTTTAAATTGAATGTCAATGCAATATATCTGATCTGCTTATTAGTCCTGACATTTTTTTTAATGCAAAATCAAGACTTTTATTGCTAAGCAGTGTCTGCATAACGTCTCCTGATTTCAAAACTTAGGATTTAGTTCAGTGAATTTGCCTTACTCTTCTTCTTCAAAACAAGCTGACATCTTTTTCTTGTTCTTAAGTCTATCTGATTAATTACGAGGCTATTTGTGTAACCATTTTTTTCTTTTTTTATTATTTAGCTTGCAAGAAGCCCAGAAAAGAATGAAAATAAAGAAACCGCCTAATATCCTCGTTATCCATCTCAAGCGCTTCAAATACATTGAACAACTCGGTCGGTACAAGAAGCTATCTTACCGTGTCGTGTTTCCGCTCGAGTTGAAACTCAGCAACACACTCGAGAATGCTGATGCAGAGTATTCTCTCTTCGCCGTCGTCGTTCATGTTGGCAGTGGGCCCAACCATGGTCACTATATTAGCCTCGTTAAAAGTCACAATCATTGGTTGTTGTTTGATGACGAAAATGTTGATATATTTGATGAGTCTGCCGTGCAAACATTCTTTGGCTCGGCACAGGAGTACTCCAGCAACACAGACCATGGGTACATCCTATTCTATGAGAATCTTGGCGGTAGGAGTTAAGGTGCTGTCCATTTTTGTGGTATTTTAGTCTTTATTTCTCCTGTTTACCATTTACCTTCATGTAAATTCAAAATTTGCAAGGCCAGATGTGAAAGGACATGATTCCTAAATTGGATTCACTGTATAGCAAATGGTAGTAACATGCCATATATCTCAATAATACGAGTGTAAGTGAGTTGATATCAGGGTTGAGAAATATTCTTGTGTACTTTTCTCTTTTTAATATTTAAAATGGAATAGTTTTCTTTAATATCTTCCCAGTTGCTGGACATTTGCCTTGTTTTTTACTCTTCAGATCATGAAGCAAAGAATGAACGACAAGCTTTGTCTTCCAAGGTCAGTGTACTTTCTTCTTTCCAATCTGTCGAGCTCGTTTCAAAACTTTTTTACATGTTTATGAGTTGCCTTCACCTGATCAATTAATCACCTTGTTTCTTCTTATATATTTTTAGGGGCATTTACATACATATATACCACACAATTCTTATGTTTTTACATATTTAACACTTCAAACTTTTATTTTTACATTTATAACACTTAAATTTGTCTTATCACATCAAATACCTCTATTCCTAACCTTTAAAAAGTGAAATAATCATTCTGTCAAGTAGAACTCTCTTGCCTCTGGTGGCTTCTGATGCTGGTTAAGGCATTATTATTGCTCACCATCTCAACAGCTTTTGTTGATTCGTTATTTTTCTTTCAATTTTAGTTATCGCTTTTTTTGTTAGGTTTGTCAGCTGTCATTATCATTTGTTTTATCTTAATCACATGTTTCATAAATGCATCCACATTAATTCATTCCATGTGAAATGAGATTTTTATTTATTTACCTTACACAATTAGCCATTTTTTTATCTTATTTTCAGATACTTTATCTTTAATATTGTGTTTCCTGATGTAATTATTTAATACTCATCATCATCAGCCCATTTCTTAAGTTCAAACTTTTTCAAAGAATAGACATCAAGTTCCCCTTCATTTTTTTTGTGTAAATAAAAAAAAAAAGCAATGCATTCAATTGGTGATTAAGTGATTAATTGCTGGAAATTTATATGCAATGCATTCTCTTACATTTTTTTAAAATTGTCATTCAAATATTAAAATTCATAATAAAATTGTTTAACTTGTATTTTTTTTTATTTTTTTTCAAATTCATAATAGGAGCCATGTTGCATGTATAAATATATGGATTTATAGTTTGGAAAAAGTGATTGAGGTGTAAGGATATAATTGCTATAAAAGACTTGTTCTATTCATTAAGCACTTGGGCTTGTATAAAGCCTTAGAACTTTCTTATAAATAACTCCTATATTTCTTCTATATTTCATATTTACAATTAGAACCCTTAAAGAATGTAAATCTCAACACTCCTCAAGATGGGCATAAGATATTCATTGGGCCCGTCTTGTCATATAATTTAGTCAAATCTAATGAGATGTCCTTTGGTGAGGCAATCAACCACTTGCTCTCTAATGGCTACATGGCCTAGCTCTAGTAGATCGTTATTCAGCTTTTACTTGATGAAGAACCTATCAATCTACACATGTTTGGTTTTACCATGTTGTACTGGGTTGATGACTTGTGTCACCATAACTTTATTTGACTCCTTGGTACACATTGAGCTCTACCAAAAGGGCTCTCAACCACAACATCTCAGCAACTCCGAAGGCAATTGGCCTTGTACTTTGCCTCTGTCGTTGATCTTGCAACTATTGACTGTTGCTCTTCCAACAGACCAAGTTGTCCCCTACAAATATATAGTATCCTGACGTGATCCTCCTCTTATTCGCACAACTTGCCTAGTCAGAGTCACAAAATCCCTCTCAATGCATACATGCCCATTCCTTAAAGATCAACCCCTTCCCTGAAGCACTCTTCAATTATCTCAGAACCCGATACATTGCATCCATATGACTTTTCCTCAGATTATGCATGTAGCTACACACCACACACTCACTACGAATGACATGTAGGGACGAGTGTGACTCAAATAGATCAGAAGACCCATCAATCTCTGGTATTTCTCACAATCAACTAGCTCTCATGCCTCTGCACTCAGCTTGCTCTTCTGATCAATTGGATAGACTACATGCTTGGATCCCAGCATGCATGTTTATGTGAGATCTAATATGTACTTCCTCTGAGATAAGACCATCCTCCATCATACCTCAATATCTTACCCCATCTGAAGGTGATTATGCTCTGCAAGAGGTTCATTCCAGAATATGTGGGGAGCATCTCGGGGGTAGAGCTCTTGCCCTTAAAATAATGAGACAACATTTCTACTGGGCCACGATCAAGGAATATGCATTGGATTTTGTGCAAAAATGCAAGATTTGTCAACTACACCAATCTTACACATGTCGCCAGTAGAACTCGCGCATTTTGGTGTCCTTGTTATTTCGTCCAATGAGATCGTTTCCAATAGGACAACAAAAAATCATCATCTTAGCTATCGACGATTCACTGAATGGGTAAAAGGGGAGCTGCTCGCCAAGATCACCAAAGCCAATGTCAAGTCGTTTGTCTGGAAAACATTGTCCGTCACTTTGAGCTCCCCGTGAAGATTATCACTGATAATGAGACTCAATTCTTTAGAAAGTTCTTCATGTCATTCTGCAAGGATCGTCACATCCAACTGGTGTACAGTGTCGTGGCGCATCCCCAAACAAATGATAGTCAGAGGAGACAAATGAGACAATGCTCAAGGGGTTGAAGACTCGTCTTGAGAAGGTTGGGGGCAGTAATTGGAAGGGCTCCACAACATCATCTAGGCCTATCGCACCACATCACAAACTCCAACTAGGGAAACTCCATATAACTTGTGTTTCTGCTGCGAGACTATCATCCCAGTTGATATTAGAGTTATAAACTCTGATATCAACTTTCAACTCAAATAGTTATGAGGAAAAGCTCCGACAACATTTAAATCTCCTCCCAGAAACACGCGACTTGACCCACCTTAGAGATGTTTTTTGTTGTCAAAATTGCTCGCCACTTCAACCTGAGAGTCAAGCCTCGACCAATCTCCATCAGTGACCTGGTTTTGAGTAATATTGAAGACGTCGGTCGTGATCCGCAACGCAATAAATTTTCTCCATCTGGAAAAGCTCATATATCGTCGTTGTTGATCAAGTCTGGAACCTTCAAACTCAAAGATTCAGATAGGAAAATTATGCCCTGAACTTGTAATGCAGAGAATCACCGCAAGTACTACTATTAACACTCTGATCATGTAGTTCATGTATGTTATTACATCACATCTTATAGTCTCAATGTATCTCAAACATATTAAATGAATATCATTCACTTGTTTTCCTCTAAATGGAGGATATCTCTAAAGTGTAACAGTTCATTCATGAATCACTTCATGCTCTCGACACGAGAAATACATAACTTTGGTTGCATTTTAGTCAGAACACGATCAATCTCAAGGGGGTTCGATCTAATATTTTTCATATGTGTTAACATCGCCAAGTTTGTACTGTTATGAACAATCCTAGATATGTTAACAGTCTTTGGTGGATTACACCTGACTCATTCCAAATAAGTTCATAAGCGAGCAATGCTTCAATAAACAACCTCAGATAGATTAAAAATTCATCGGTGGACTTCCGTTGGTTTATCCCATATGGGTTAACATCATTGTGTAATATTCTGATACACATCCCCAGGAAAGTCAAAGGCCGCTGACAATTTGTCTGCATGACAACCTCCTCACATATGAGAACTTTTGAATGAGAGTGGTATCCACTGCGGCATGAAAATAAAACATGCTTCAAAATTATCATAAAAATTTTACTCATGGGCAAATAGCCAACATAATCAAATAACTAAATAAGATGATCAACATGCATGCTATTATCACTCATACAACACATTCTGACAAAAGTTGAAAAGAAATAGCTAGATTTGTATGGTTTGTACAATATGACAAAAGCAAGTACACTAAAATCTTATAAGGAAGAGTAGGACACTAATCGACATCAACATTATCCTTCGCTCCCTCATTGTCGTTGGAGAACACCTTATTTTATTCACTTTCGATGTCCTCACCTTCAGAATCTAAGGGAGGATCTTTCGAAGCTTGGTTGGGAGTGAGCCCCTCTACGACAATCTATGTTTGACATTACACCCCTCGATTCTCCTTCAGGAAACCCTGAATGAATCATTCCTCAGTGAACTACTTTTGTTGCTCCTTTGCCTCAACATAAGTACCCACCCGGTCATGAGCTTCTTGGACATAATCTCAAATAATAGTCTTCAACTCAAGCGAGTTCTTGAAATCCTTAGCCGCTTTTTGCTTAATCTCTGCAACATTGACATCCATCACAAACTTCAAAAGTCGGTTCTTTTCCTATTGGGCTGACACCGTTGACTTAAAGGCTTTCACGCTCATATTAATTTCACGTAGATGGATTTGTGCCCCTGCCAATGCTTTTTGAGTTCTTTATAGTTCCTGATGTTGCAACGAGAAAGAAGTCACCATTATTGAGAGTTTTGTCCTGCACTCCTTCAACTGTGATTTCAGAGTCGTGACTCCTTCAACATTGGATTCATTTTGGTTCTTATACTCTTCTTGGAGATATTTGATCTTAGCAAATTCAGAGTTCCAATTTCTCAGAGCTAGTTCTAGCCCCATCTGAATTTTATTTATCTGGAAGTAGATAATTTTGGGTCAGACATATAACATGATTATATAATGGTAGAAGAAAAAAGAAACTTACATAGCCCTTGATCTCCAAGAGCAAAGTAAATTCATGAGACAACACATCTCGGGAATATGAATAGCAGGAAGACTAGATAGTGACTTTCACAATTCTTTAACCCTATTATGTTGTTTCTTAAGGAGCATTTTATTGTTGTTGTTCATTGGGGGTCGTTTTGAGGATACCACAGGGGCTGGCTCGGAAGGTCCCTTCTTAGATTTCTTCAATGTTACAATTGTTTATTGTTCGGGGTGGAATGAAAGTTTGGCCTTGAACAATATTTCCTCGCCCACAAATTCATGAGTATATTGCACCTTGAACAATATTTCGCTGAAGTCACAAAATCCTAGCACCCGATGTATTACCTTTTTAGTAGTCTGAAGAGAGATAAATAACTGTTGGAACCTTCCTCGCCTCTCACAGGGCCTCCAATTATTTTTCGCAAAGAAGATTCTTACGAACCATTGACTTAT